CAACCTTGTTGAGCTCTACATGTATGGCAACAATCTCATAGGTTCTATTCCTTCCACATTGGGAAACTTGAATAACCTAACTGTGTTGCACTTGTTCAACAATTCCCTATCCTGTTCCATTCCCCAAGAGATAGGACAGTTGAAATCACTACATAGCCCAACCTTTCAAACCAACAATCTTACTGGCTCAATCCCAACATCTTTAGGTGATTTTAGCTCCCTAGCGCAACTATACCTCTGGAATAATCAACTCTCTGGTCCAATTCCTAAAGAATTAGGGAACTTTAAGTCCTCGTTTATCTAGAATTGAGTTCGAATCAACTTAGTGGTCCCATTCTAGCTTCTTTAGGTGATTTGACCAATTTAGAAATTCTAAACCTCCACTCCAACCGACTATCCAGCCACATTCCATAGGAATTTGGCAATTTGAAAAAATTGGTTGAGCTGGTATTAGATGAAAATCAATTTTCTGGCAATCTCTCAGAGCTTTGCCAAGGTGGTAAACTTAATTACTTCACGGTGCACCACAATCAGCTCACAGGTACAATCCCTAAATTTATGAGAAACTGCTCAAGCTTAGCCACAGATCGCTTTGAGGGAAACCAACTCATTGGAAATATATTTGAAGATTTTGGCACTTATCCAAACCTGGTCTACCTAGATCTAAGTAACAATAATTTTTATGGAAAATTATCAGAAAATTGGGGAATATTCCCAAATTTAACACTCAGTAAGAAATAACATCACTCGTAGCATTCCACCAGGGTTTGGAAAGTGAACACAGCTAGAACGACTAGATTTATCTTCAAATCGTTTAGTTGGGGAGATCCCAAAGGAATTTGGAAAGTTAACTTCTTTGGAGTGGGTAATTTTGGCTAATAATTAGCTTTTAGGTTGGATACCTCAAGAACTCAGATCACTAAACTAAGTTGTCGAAACTTGATCTATCCACAAACAAATTTAGTGGGCCAATACCAGGTATTTTGTAGACATTTCGATAGTTCAACTAGAAAATTCCATTATAGATTGGTAAGTTATTTCAATTGACCGAGATGGATCTGAGTAGTAACATTCTCATAGGGGAAATACCATTGGAAATCACAAATTTGCGTAGCTTGGAGAAGTTGAACCTCTCCTACAATAAACTCTCTAGTCTCATTCCAGTGACTTTTGAAGATATGCGTGGCTTGGCGTATGTTGATAACATACAATGAGTTGCAAGGTCCTATTCCCATGAGCAACGCTTTCATGAATGCATTAATAGAAGCACTACAAGGGAACAAAGATCTGTATCAAAATGTCACGGCTTGCAGCCTTGCAAAATTCCTTCTGCATTGCACACATACACTCTAGAAAAAAGGACACTTGTTCTTATAATTGTGTTCCCGCTTGGTGAAGCGCTCTTACTTCTAGGTGCATTCATCGGACTTCTCATCGTCTTCGATCCAAGAAAGAGAAAGTCATAAGTTGAAGAGGGTGACACGCAACCTCTGAGTGAAGATTTGTTATCGATATCAATATTCGATGAAAGAACAATGTACAGTAGTTGTGAAGAAACTTCACCTGTTATCTGAGAGGGCTGATCGGAAAGATTTCTTAAATGAGGTAAGGACATTGACAAAAATTAAGCATTGAAACATAGTGAAACTTTTTTGGTTATGTTCGCATGCTAGACACTCTTTTTTAGTTTATGAGTACCTCGAAAGAGGTAGTTTGGCTGTAATTTTCAACAAAGATGAAGAGGCTAAAGAATTGGATTAGCCTAAGAGGGTGAATATTATTAAGGGTGTGGCAAGCGCTTTGTCATACATGCACCATGATTGCACACTGGCCATTGTTCACCGAGACATTTCCAGTAACAATGTCTTGATTGATGAGGAGTATGAGGCATGTGTTTCAGACTTTGGCACTGCCAAGCTTTTGAAGCTAGATTCCTTCAACTGGAGTGCATATGTAGGCACATATGGATATGTTGCACCAGGTAAACATAGTTTTAAGTTGTCCTAAATTGATACAGAATCTAAAGTGTAACAAAACAAGTGCATGATCATGTCTCCTTTTTTTTTTTTTTTTTTTTTTTTTTTTTGCAGAGCTTGCTTACACAATGAAGGTAACTGAAAAGTGTGACATTTATAGCATTGGTGTGTTGGCACTAGAAGTGATCAAAGGAAAGCATCTGGGAGACTTCATCACCTCCCTGTTGACCGCAGCTGTTGAGAACATAAAGCTAAAGGATGTGTTGGACCAATGCCTTTCACCTCCCTCCCTTGAAGTTGAAGAGGTAGTGATGTGCAGTGTAAAATTGGCAATTGCATTGCTGCATATCAATCCACAATCTAGGCCAACCATGCACATTGTTTATCAATTGTTATCCACCCGAAAAATTCTGTAGAGCCTCACCTATGTGCACAGAATTGCTGCCCATGAAAACGTACAGAATTGATCACTTTCTGTTCTGCATATTTTTTCGTGCACTAATTTTTTGCACTTGGCAAAACTCAAGCCTCATAGACTTGTGCACTGATAGTGCAAAGCTATTTTGTTTAGTTAGGATATGTTAGATATTAGATAAAAATCCAATCCTCTCTATTACCTACTAAAATATACTTTTTATATAGAGGTTTTTATTGTAAAAATAAATATTGAGTGAAAATTAATAAAAAGAGGGATGTAGCCTTGGGGCTTTTGTGTGCCGTGGGTGTATGGTAGTAGCCCAACCACACACACATGATGTGGCTTCTCTCTTTATTCTCATCTTATTTATTTTATTTTATTTTATTTTGTTTTCTTTTATTTTTCTTGAATTTAAACCTTGTAGAACCAAAAATTGGTGGATTCTTTCATATTGATTTGAAAAAGCCATGTTGCTGGGATGTTATTTTCCATTGAATAAATTACGTATAAATTACCAAAATGGTTCAAATTTGATGTTGGTGGTGGTGAGTTTGTGGCGGTGATTCTGGTTTGGCGATTTGAGATTTGGTAAATAGGGAGGGAGGTGGTTGTTGGTAGGTAAAGAGGTTGTGGTTTATGAGGGAAGCTGTAAAAGAGAGGGGAAAGGGAAAGAAATTAACATGTTACAAATAACATCATAAGTTTCATCTAATGACATATTGCAAATTTGTTAAACTAGACAAAAACTTAAATATCTAGTACATGGTGTGGTTTATGAGTGATAACTAATATATTTGTGCTAAGCCTTCAGTATTGTCACTATAAATCTAAATCTCAGTTTTTTATTTGTTTTTGTTTTGTTTCGGATGGTGAATCTAAATCTTAGTTTTAGTAAATGAATTTTAACAAATTGTATTTAATATAAAGATTGAAGATTGTAATGAGCGTAATAGTAGAAACAGCTATAGCAATACACACAAGTATTCTTATATCATCTTCTAAAAGGAAATTTGATATCCTTCTTTTCCATTCATGAGGGATCTCAAAAATCAATTGTAAAATTAATCTCAAAGCTTTTGACAGTAAATCCTAAAATTGGGAAAACCAAATGATTAATTTCAGACATGTAGAGATTTATCACAAGAATAATGTTGTTGTTACCTGGCAATGAGGTTGAGATTCTGAAAGTCGAGCAGCTCATTGGAGTTTCCTTAAGATTAGGTGAACGAATCAATGAATATCGATGATGGATGCAGACTGTTCTCTCTCTTCTAGGGCTAAAAGCATCCCCAACAACAGTACCCTATTATCAATTTTTAGCTATTTTAAGGGGTGAAAATTCAAAAAAATCATTCCCCACAGATTCCGGTCTTTTTGAAAGTGATTTAAAACTCACTTCTAAATTTTTAATTTATTTTGAATCATATTATTTTTTTTATATTTTTTATATATATTTTTAAAATATGTTAAAAAATTAAAAAATTATTTTTAACCATCTTTTCAAAACATCCTTAGAGCATCTCCAATGGTTGTTGTTATTTTGCTATTGCTATTGCTATAATTTGGCAATGAATAGTGTTATTTTGCCAAATTATAGCAATGATGCTTCAATGGTCATTTGCTATTTTTGGCAAATCTCAACCAAATTTCCCTCCAAGTTTGTAGGTGTTGTTTGGATATAGGTTTTTTGTGATTTTATTTTTATTTATGTTTTGTCTTTTTGACATTTTTTTACCTGTTTGTTAAAAAATATTATATATTTATATTATTCCCAACTAGACAAATATAAAAAATTTTAAAAAATGGAAAATTGGAAAAAAAAAATAATTTTGATTAATTCACCCCACCAAAAAACATATCACTACATATTTAATAAATTTTTTTAACTACACATAAAAAATAATTTTTCACCAATTACCCACCAACAACCATCTATTATTAACTCAGCATTCATTCACTCACATCCATCCACCCAACAACCATCCATTATTCATCCACCTGTTTGTTAAAAAAAATTATATATTTATATTATTCCCAACTAGACAAATATAAAAAATTTTAAAAAATGGAAAATTGGAAAAAAAAAAATAATTTTGATTAATTCACCCCACCAAAAAACATATCACTACATATTTAATAAATTTTTTTAACTACACATAAAAAATATTTTTTCACCAATTACCCACCAACAACCATCTATTATTAACTCAGCATTCATTCACTCACATCCATCCACCCAACAACCATCCATTATTCATCCACCCAACAACCACCTATTATTCATCCACCCACCCAACAACCACCCATTATTCATCCATCCACCCAACAACCATCCATCATTTACCCACCCACAATTTTCTCTATAAATATAACATAAGGTTTTTTACAATTTTCATATTCACCTACCTATCATTTTCATATCTTCAAAACTCTCTGTACCCACCAAGAAGATTTTCTACAATTTTCATATTCACCTACTTACCCATCCACCTATAATGAACAATTTGAGTAAAGCCATATTAAATGGAGATTTTGATAAATCTTTATCATCTGATGATGATATCATAATGATGTAACTATTCACAGCTCAACAACAAAGATTACAGATGTTAAGCATAAACCAACAAACCAGACGTGTTGGTTCCACAAGTGGTCGTCAATACATTAATCGTGAGAGGGTCAAAGGCGACGAACAAATTTATAGAGATTATTTTGCAGATAATCCTGTCTATCCAGAAGAATACTTCCGAAGACGTTTTCGAATGAGGCGGTCATTGTTCGTTAGTATCTTACACGATATTCAACAAGTGAATGAGTACTTCATCCAAACCCGTGATGCCACTAGTGCTCCTGGATTATCCAGTGTACAGAAGATGACTGCAGCACTTCGGATTCTCCAATATGGTGTGCCTGCTGATGCTGTAGACGAGTACAGTAGAATCAGTGAAAGTACTGCAATTGCTGCCTTAAATTTTTTTACCAGATCAATTGTTGCTACCTATGAAGCCGTTTACTTAAGATCTCCAAATGAAGCAGATGTCGCCAGATTATTGCAAGAGGGAGAGCAACGCGGTTTCCTAGAATGTTAGGGAGTTTGGATTGTATGCACTGGTGTTGGGATAAATATCCAAGTGCCCAAGCCAGTGTTTACACTGGACACTATCACAAACCAACAGTTGTACTCGATGCAGTTGCCTCCTATGACTTGTGTATTTGGCATGCTTTCTTTGGCATGCCTGGTTCTCTAAATGATATTACTGTTCTTGACAGGTCGCCTTTATTTGCTGAATCAACTAGAGGACGTGTCCCTGCTGCCAACTACACCATCAATAATCACACATACACCATGGGGTATTATCTTGCTGATGGTATCTATCCTCGTTGGGCAACGATTGTGAAAACAATATCTCAACCTCAAGGCGCAAAGAGACAACTATTTGCGAGGATACAGGAGGCATGTCAAAAAGATGTCGAAAGGGCATTTGGAGTGCTCCAAGCACGATTTAATATTGTCAGCGTGCCAGCTAGAGGTTGGAGGGATGAGGATCTGTACTACATCATGAAGACGTGCATTATTTTGCACAACATGATCATTGAAGATGAGCGTGATATTCCATAAAATGAACGCAGTGAAGCACAACTTGAGACTGATACCAGTAATTTGGGCTGTCAAGTGTCACGCGATCCGAATGAGAAGTATGCTCAATTTATGTTGAATCGGCAAAGGATTAGATCTGTTGCAGCCCATAATGTAATTTGTAATGATCTAATTGAACACTTGTGGTCCCGAGCTGGCGAGTTAGATTAAGTTTGCATTTTATCTTTTTAATGATAGTTAATGTCAATTAATGTCTTTTTATTCTAATAAAATGTTCTTCATTTAATGTCTTTTTATTTTACAATGTCTTTTAATGTCAGTTAATGTCTTTTCATAAAATGTCTTTTTTTACATTGTGAAGTACAAAATACTCAAAAATAAAATAAAAAAAACAACATGAAATTTCATTACAAAATAAAAATTACATTGCAAAGAAAGACTAACAATTACATCAAAAAATAAATGATATTGCAAATTTCAAAAATACATTATTTCGTAATTATTCATCAGAAGGTAGGGGGAAATAAAAATTTGGGCTGCTCACATTTGAGGACCACTTGGCAAAAATCTCATTTTTTCGCATTGTGTAATACGCTTTCATCTGAGGGTCCAAATGAGAAATGTCCGTAGTCATTATTTGGTGTTCTTCCTTTTTCATCTCAAACTCATGCTTTTCCATCTCAAGTTCTTTCATCTCCTGCAGTGCTTGAATCCTTTTTTCTTCTCTTTCCTCTTTTTTCTTTTCTTTCTCAGCAAGGTGTTGGTTTCATTTTTTGGACTTCAGTTTCAATGACTTGATTTCTCCGGAATAATTCTTTTGCAGATTTCCTACCCATCGGCCTTTTACCCTTTCCAGAGACACTGCCTTCACCAACAGTTGGATTGTTACTAACACTTGGACTATTGTCGTCTTCAAGAGAAATGCAGTTTTCCATACGAGAATCAGGGGCTGAATTAGGGGTAAACACTGTATGCATCCTTGACTTTACCGTATTCGTGAGAGCTACATCTTGCCACCTGATATTGTCTTGCAATATTGGCCAACAATGCTCAAAAGTGAAATGTTTGTTTTCATCTTGATGGTATAACAGTTTTGCTTGAAGCATATGTTTAAAAAAAAATTGAAACATTATTTAATTACGTAATTTTTATACAATACCAGAATAAGAAACTAAACATAATAATTGAAAATAAAAACTTACTATATCAACTTGAGAAATCCCACTTGGGTGAAGATTTTCGACTTGAGCTAAACATCCCCGAAATTTGTTAGAACATTTCATGATTATACCCCATCGAGATTGAATAGACACTTGTGTTCTGGACAGATCATTCTGAAGCAGGCAAAATTTTTTGTAAATTCTCCCCTAAAAGTGAGCATACGATTGTGAATTGCCAACAATTGGGTCTTCCGAAATGTGACACCAAGATTTAAAAATTGCCATATCTTCTTCAATGGTGAATGATTTTCCTCTCTTTGTTTTTGATGAACCCTCTATAGTGATTGGATGAAAAAACTAAAAAGAAAATAATTTAAGAGGTTTGTTGTGAAATCAGATTCAAAGAAGAGAGGAGAAAACAAAAATTAAATGTAAATGTTTGTGTGAAATAAGAGTGGCATGGAGGGTTTCTGTTGGAACAATCTTCTGTGTAAATAAAATAAACTGAAATTAAATCAAACAAAATAAAATAAATCTTGCAGAATTTATTTCGTTGAACCGAATAGATAATTCAAGACCAAGTCAAGTGGGTGACACTCTATCCTTAAGACAGATTCGCCCCACTGCGGTGCTTACGGTTGAGTGGCGTTTATCTCCCAGGATACAATGATCTTCAAAATTTGTAGTAGCACTCCAAAACAAATTGTTCGGCGAACCAAACCTGTGTTCTTACTCTCTGATAATTTAATCTAAATCCAATATATGAAGAATAAATGCGGCAGAGCAAAATCTGGACAGAAAAGGCAAAGAGGTCATCTATATGGGGCATAGGGTACTTATTCTTGACTGTAGCCCAATTCAACTTTCGGTAATCGATACACAATCTCAAGGCACCATCTTTCTTTTTAGCAAAGAGGGCCGGTGCTCCCCACGGCGAAACACTAGGGCGAACAAAACCCTTATCTAACAACTCCTGAAGCTGAGTCTTCAACTCACTCAACTCGGCTGGGGCAAAACGATAAGGTGCCATAGAAATCGGTGCCGTGCCGGGCACTAAATCAATAGAGAACTCTGTCTCTCGATGAGGTGGCAAACTAACAAGGTCCTCGGGAAAGACATCCGAATACTCACAAACCACCCTCGGTAACACAAGCTGGGTCTCACTACACTCACCACTCTCAAGGCTAGCAAGTAGACCACTAAGCTCACTTCGCCCTCGCGAATCATACCCCGGGGGTAAAACACAACCAACCCGGTCTCCCAAGAAATGGAACCACTCCCCGTTCAAGGTACATAACGTGACCCTCTGGCGGTAGCAATCGATAACAGCCCGGTATGACGATAGCCAGTCCATACCCAAAATAACATCAAAACCCTTCATGGACATGACAACAAACGAAAAAGGAAGCCTATGGTCGGCGACCTCTATATCACAACCCCTAACACCTTGTTTCAAGATCAACTCACCCCCAAGAGGTGACACTACACAAATAGGAGATGCTAACTGTGCCAACTCCAATTCCAAAACAGATGCAAATGCAGCAGACACAAAGGAATGAGATGCACCCGTATCAATCAAAACATTAGCAACCGAGTTGCAAAACAAGAAGGTACCGCTCACAACTGATGGTGCTGGCACAAGAGCCTGCGCGGTAACAGCATACACGCGCCCAGACGACCTCTGATCAACCTGCTCAACCCTAGGAGCATAAGATTGCTGCACTGACTGGGACGATGAAGCCCCCTGATTAGCCCTCGAGGCCTGCACAGACTGAGCTAGCTGAAAACCCTGCGTCTGCCTAGAAACAGACGCCCTGAAGTAGCACTCAACTGTGGGCAATACTCTTCAGGTGCCAGGCTGACCACACTGATAACAAGACAAAGGCTGGCCCCTGCCTTGACTCTGGCCCTGAGGTCTAGCTGAAGAAGAAGCAGCTCGCTGACCCCCTCCCTTTCGCGGGCAAACCGAAGACTTGTGACCCAGCTGGCCACACGCAAAACAAGTCAGGCCTCCCTGACTACCTCTCCCCGAACCTGCACTCGGCACCGGAAAGGCCGATCTAGTAACTCACCTGAGACTGTGAGGGTATAACCCCTCTGTCTCCTACATCACCCTGACCTCCTGGCCGCTTGGAGCCTCTATGTTTTCCTCGTCTTCCTCCTGCATCATAAGCTCCATATGAGCTGCAGCATCCACTAGGTGTCTATACTCTCAGCATGTAAGACCCACCAACTCTCAGCTTGAGGCCCCGCCTCAACTTCGGCTCAAACTCATAGCAACGGCGTTCTTCGGACGCCACCAACTCAGGTGCAAACCTGGACAAACTAGTGAAAGTGGCCTCAAACTCTGCCACAGACATGCCCTGCTGATTAAGCCGGCTGAACTGATCCCTCAGCTTCTCCCTAGCAACTGTAGATAAGAACCTCTCCTGGAAAGCATTTACAAACGCCTCCCATGTACCACCAACATGAGCCTTCTCGTACTTCCACCATTGACCCGCATCTCCCTTCAGTTGGAAGGATGCCAAAGAGATGCTAATTGCTCCGTCCTCGATGCCAAGCATCTCGAACGTCTTACTCATTTGCTCTAGCCACTCATCAGCCTTCAGCGGCTCCTTCGGATCACCAATAAACTCATCCGGGTTAGACCGGAAAAACTCCCTCTTCAAGAAAGAAGGTCCTGCCTCAGCTACCTGGTTTCCAGCCCTGAGAATACCCAAAGCTCCTGCTATCTCTCGTGCCAAGGCACTCATAGCCTGTTGACCCACTGGCTCGGCCACGTTGGCCTGACCAACACCCTCCTGCACTGCCGGAATGTCATCCGGTAAAGGTACTTCCTGCCTCGCAGGCCTACCACGCCTAGCACCTCTTCCTCGTCCTGACATCCTAATAAAGGTAATACAGAGCATTAGCACATTCACAATGTGCCACAACTAAACACTCACGTCCTAATGCATGGACAACAGTAATTCACTCCACGTAAGCACATAAACACATAAGCACTTACGAATTTCATTTCCGGATAATGATAGTCCCGAGGCGTTACTAGAGTTCCGGTTAGAAACAGCATTGATCAAGTGCCTTTCCAACAAGACTCACAGAAACCCAAGGATCCAATCAACATCCTAGAAACTAAATCCCATACCCACTAAGCACATGGCATATGACACTATATCTAAGTCTCTATCAAGCGAGACAAACCCATTGTGATACTAATCACTTCCCACGTACACCATAGTATTCGAACCCGATACGCTCTGATACCAAGTTGTAATGCCCTCAAAAAAAAAAATAACCCATCAATATATACATGCATTGATATATAAAAGTTCCACATTCTTTCTATCATTAGAGTTTCATTACAAAAGTATTACATGTTAACGACAAAGACAAATGCCCTAAAGGCTTACAGCTTTCCAAGTTAAACTTGGTTACAACAAAAGAGTACTAACTCATTTATACATTAAGCCCTTGGCTTGAATTTACATGTAATACATCAAAAATCAAACGACAAAAGTGCGTCCGCCTCTAGCCTCCCAAGCTACGTCTTTGGAGGTGGCATGCTACATGATATTCCCATATAGGGTGAGCCACAGCCCAGTAGAAATACACTAACCAAATATGGACAATGACTAAAAGATTAGTAGTTGATAGATGACCCACACTGATACTTTCTCTTATCACACTTTACAGTTTCATGACATGCAAATCCATATTATAGTTCATTTTCCAATTCCTTTCAATTCTCAATTTACAACCGTGGCTCAGAACCTGGCCAACAACTCATATGAGACAGTAACTCATATCAAATATTCCCATTTCATAATAGATAAGCATACTAACTATATCATACAACAACAG